AGCAATATTGACTCGCTGCACACTACTCCCAGCCTGCTTCACAGCAACACTGACGTGCTGCACACCACTCCCAGCCTGCTTCACAGCAATGCTGATGTGCTGCACATTCCTGTCAGTCCGGTTCACAGCAATGCTGACTTGCACTTCTCCGAAGCAATTATATGTGGTTTAAGTTTCCCTGGAGGCAGCAGGGAACCATATTTCTCTTACAACATTTTACATTGGAATAGCTAGAATTCAATTCTGTCAAACAAGTTAATTTACAGAATAATAAAATCTTGTAGTAGATGTGTACGATACTGAATTTGCATGCTTATTTAATTGTTATATGTTGGTGTTTAACAAAATTTTATAAGCTGCAATTTGCTTTACAATGTTATAGTTTGTGATTAACAAAGCAACTCAGAATAGGACAGCTGGAAATGCATTGAAAAATAGCTGTAAGGGTCTAGAATAACTCAGTAATGTTCAAAATATTTTTCAAAAGAAACCTGAACACAATGATGTAGTTATTCTTTTATTAGACACATTAAAAAGATTAGTGTTTTGAAGGAAAATGTATGCCTTTTCTGAATAAATGGATTTCACATACCTGCACATTTTGGTAGTGGCATTGTAAAGCTTCAGCTTATACTGGTTATTGGCAGTGATAATGAAGCTCTCTTTACTGATTGGTGGGTACCAGGTCATGCACATAGGGATAGCACTCTGTTCTATTCTTTCACTACTTAATATCTGCAGATCATCCTCAGTACTATAAGCTAGATTGTACTCCACCTGAGGAATGAAGAAAAGGGATTTTATTAAATTTAATTTATATGATAACTACCGCCTTTTACTTTTTTTTAAATGAGAAAATATTTTGTAAGGTTCATTGGAACATGAACATAAAGCAAAGAAAATTAAATAGGTAAAGCACAATTACAAGAATCTAGCAAACAATCATGGAAAAACTGAACCGTATAGTGAAGAATAATCAATAAATTATGCAAAACTATTAGCATCAGAAGAAAATAACGAAGCACTTTAAGTAAGAGCTACAGAGTTCCAATATATGTTGGATCCTTTTATTATGAATGATGTTGTTGTCTGTGCTTTGGACACTTTGACCAGTTTATGTGTTAAAAACACTTTACCCAAGCACTCTTGTCAATGATGCAGACAAAGGAACACAAAATTTGGTTTGTGGTTCAACTCAATTTTATGAACAAAGTTTTCTCTATTAAACACTATGTGAGCATTTCCCAAATTCCATATTTACCTCCTATCTAGCTCTATCCACCTAACAAGGATATTACCCGCAAAAATCGACATGTTTAATCTGGGTTGTTGGAATCTCCTTCTTCTCCAATATAGGGCTGGCTCTCTTCTATGATGGTGGGTCTCACGGGTCAAGGTGGATCTTTTCTCTCTATTTGTCTCTCTATCTCTCTCCCTCTCTCTCGATGGTTGGAGCTCCGCTGCTGGGCCAGATCAAATCTACACTGAGTCCTCACTGACAGGGGTGGCATCCAGGTGTGTGTTCATATCCACCTTTGCCCCTGAGCTTTCGGAATGTTCTTGACCTTTGGCCAATGGCGTCATGAGATGGGTTCAAATCATCTAATAAGGTCACACCAATACCCTTCACTTTTACCATACCGGAAGTTGTAAAGTACACATATACAGGCAGTGAAGGTGTCAGAATGTCTGAATGATACTTCCACAATACACAACCCTCAGGCTAGTCGTAACTGGTTCCTCTTAAACCTTTGTAACTTCTTTGGTCTTGGTTTCCACTATTCTCTGTTGCCGATAGATGCTGGCTGCTGTTTAATTTAGTTTGGCCAATTTTCTATCAGGCCTGATTTCTCTATGTGTGGGTCAATTTAGAATGTCCAGTTTTGGGCCAGTGGTTGCTTGACCATTGTGTGATATCAGGAAAGCAATCTGGCTGAGATGATCTACAAAAGTCCCAAACTAAGTTACAAGAGCCTGAGGTAGCCAGTCAGCACAAAATGAACCAACAATGAAAATAGACCTCTTCTTGAATTTGAAAGATACATTAATATTACCAGAGATAACAAGGTGTAGAGCTGGATGAACACAGCAGGCCATGCAGCATCAGAGGAGCAGGAAAGCCGACGTTTTGGGCTTAGACTCTTCTTCAGAAATGGGGGTGGGGAAAGGGGTTCTGAAATAAATAGGGAGAGAGGGGGAGGCTGAAAGAAGATGGATAGAGGAGAAGATAGGTGGAGAGGAGACAGACAGGTCAAAGAGGCGGGGTTGGAGCCAGTAAAGGTGAGTGTAGGTGGGGAGTTAAGGTGGGGATAGGTCAGTCCAGGGAGGACGGACAGGTCAAGGGGGCGGGATGAGGCTAGTAGGTAGGAGATGGGGGTGCGGCTTGAGGTGGGAGGAGGGGATAGGTAGGAGGAAGGACAGGTTAGGGAGGCGGGGACAAGCTGGGCTGGTTTTGGGATACGGTAGGGGGAGGGGAAATTTTGAAGCTTGTGAAGTCCACATTGATACCATTGGGCTGCAGGGTTCCCAAGCGGAATATGAGGTGCTGTTCCTGCAACCTTCAGGTGGCATCGTTGTGGCACTGCAGGAGGCCCAGGATGGACATGTCGTCTGAGGAATGGGAGGGGGAGTTAAAATGGTTCGCAACTGGGAGGTGCAGTTGTTTAGTGCGAATCGAGCGTAGGTGTTCCATAAAGCGGTCCCCAAGCCTCCGCTTGGTTTGATGTAGAGGAAGCCACAACGGGAACAGCATACCACATTAGCAGATGTGCAGGTGAACATCTGCTTGATGTGGAAAGTCTTCTTGGGGCCTGGGATGGGGGTGAGAGGGGAGGATGTAGGGGCAGGTGTAGCACTTCCTGCGGTTGCAGGGAAAAGTGCCGGGTGTGGTAGGGCTGGAGGGGAGTGTGGAGCGGACAAGGGAGTCCTGGAGAGAGTGGTCCCTCCGGAAAGCAGATAAGGGTGGGGAGGGAAAAATGTCTTTGGTGGTGGGGTCAGATTGCAGATGGCGGAAGTGTTGGAGGATGATGCGTTGGATCCGGAGGTTGGTGGGGTGGTACGTGAGGACGAGGGAGATTCTGTTTTGGTTGTTATTGCGGGGAGGGGGTGTGAGGGATGAGTTGCGGGAAATGCGGGAGACACGGTCGAGGGTGTTCTCGATCACTGACGGGGGGATGTTGCGGTCCTTGAAAAACGAGGACATCTGAGATGTTCGGGAGTGGAATGCCTCATCCAGGGAGCAGATGTGGCGGAGGCGAAGGAATTGGGAATAGGGGATGGCATTTTTGCAGGAAGGTGGGTGGGAGGAGGTGTATTCTAGGTAGCTGTGGGAGTCGGTGGGCTTGAAATAGATATCGGTTTCCAGGTGGTTGCCAGAGATACATTTTTTTAAAAAATAAGAAGATTGCAAGGAAGTACAGCTATTACCATTCCTCCTTCTGTTTCTTTTCACATTTTGCATAAACAGCGAAAAGCTAATTTCATCAAACAGATACTATTCTTAGAGATCACGGAACCTAGCAGTACAATTACAATATTGCTTGTTTGCTTTACCATTTGCTAATCAATAACAGGTGATTATTTTTCAGCTAACTCATATTTGGGATTTGAATGAACATTTAAGGTTTAGATTATTCTGAATTATGAATTACATCAAAGGAATGGATTTTTAATGCATTAATGGAGCCTGTCCAAGCTAAAATTAAACAGTTACTTACCAGAACTCTGTCCTCTCCAAGAGACAATAACCTTGGTTGATTGCTATCCAAATATGTCCCAAATATGAGACTTCGAATCGGTTTAAAGTGTGCATTTTGCCTTCCCAAATATTGCCAAGATTTATCCTTTACCAGGAACACTGTTACTGTGCTTTTACTATCCTGCAACAAAAAGGATCATTACAAGAGCCACTATACAAGGCAAGATTTATTATTTAGCTGGAATCAACTGCTCATTGGACACTGTAACCTATATTTATTATTAGGCAATGGAATTTATATAGCACAAATAATTGTACAGTGATGAAAATAAAAAACATACATTTTAAAATTGTAAAAATGTAATATCGTTCATCATCTCAATGTTGCATTACATATATGATATTGACAAAATAAAACCAGGACTTCACAGGCAGTTGAGCAATCACCTAGTCACTGTAACATCTAAAACATTTTACCTTCTCTACAAACAGATTTTTTTCGGAACAAACTCTTCTCAAGCATTTTCATTGTTAGTGAGATGGTATGCTTCTCTAGTACAATGATAGGTTGCAGTGTGCCAACTGGGGGTGGTGTCGAGTTGAAGCATGGCAATTATAATTTATAGATTCCAGTTGGGACATAAAGCAGATGTTAACTTTCCCTGGGATGTTGAGAATACAGGCAAGAACCAAAATTATGATTCTCACCATCGAGTTCAACTGTTACAATTAAATAATTCCTCCTTTGATGGTAAGATTAATTTCTTGCCATTTGATTGCAAGAAGCCTATATACAAGTATTTGCATCTCATTAATACTGCTACTTGCTAGAATTAACTTTGCCCTCCCTATTCACCTCTGCCCAATAAAGATCCTCAACCCTTCAAAAACTCAAATGCACGAATCAAGCACGTACCTGGTAAGTTAGGGCCATGAGATATAGCAGAAGTAGCTCATCCAGTCTGCTCCACCATTTAATGAAGTCATGGTTGACCTGATAATTCTCAACTCCACTTTTCTGCCTTTTGCCCATAACCCTTGATTCCCTTACTGATTAAGTATTTTGTCTATCCCAGTCTTGAATATACTTAATGACCTCGTCCCAACAGCCTCATGTGGTAAAGAATTCCACACATTCACAACTACTTGAGAGAAAAAAAATTCTTCCTCATCTCTGTCATAAATGTGCAACCCCTCCCCTTCCTATTCTGAGCTTACGTCCTCTGGTCCTAGACTCTCCCACTGGGGGAAACAACCTTTCCACATCTACAGTTTCTCTAAATATCTTGTATATTTCAATAAGGTCATCTCTTATTCCTGTATGTTCCAATGAATATAGGCCCAATCTACTCAACCTCTCCTCATAAGACAGTCCCACCATTCCTGCAATCTGCCGAGTAAACCGTCTTTGGATTGTGTCCAGTGCTAGGGTATCTTCAATAAACAAACCAAAATTGTTCACAGTACTCCAGCTGTGGTTTGACTAATTCCTTGTATAGTTTTAGCAAAACCTCTCTATTTTTATACTCCATTCTCTTCGAAATAAAGGCCAGCATTCCATTTGCCTTCCTGATTACCTGTTGAACTTGAATGCTAGCTTTTTATAATTCAGGGACAAGGACTCCCAAATCCCTCTGTTCTGTAGTTTTCTGCACTGTCTCCATTTAAATAATATTCAGCTCTCTTAATCTTCCTGCCAAACTGCCTAACCTCACATTTCCCCACACTATATCCCATCTGTTAACTTTTTGCCCACTCACTTAATCTGTCTCTGTCCCTCTGTAGGCATCTTGTGTCATCCACACTTGCCTGTGTACCTACTTTTGTTCAAATGCGAATTTGCCAATATCACGTTCACTTCCGTCATCCAAGTCATTAATGTACATTGTAAATTATTGTGGTCCAGGACTGATCCCTGTGGCACTCCACTAGTTACAGGTCGCCATGTTGAAAATGTCCAACATTTTGGACATATCCCAACATTTTGTCTTCTATTAATTAGACAAACCTGTATCCATGCTATCCTGGACTCTATTCTTACTAAGTAGCCTTGTGAGTGGTACCCTATCAAACACCTTTTGGAAATCCAAATATATTACATCTGTTCCTTCCCCTTTATCTATCCTGCTTGTTACATCCTCACAGAGTTCAATTAAATTTGTCTGGCTTTATGTCACCTACATGAAGCAATGTTGACTCTGATTATGTATTTCTAAACATTCTGCTCAGACAACCTTTCTAATACTCTAGAGGTCTAGTAAGTCATGATTTCTTTTGAACACCTTCTTTGTCTCTGAACAATTATTTTAACAAGTTTGAAGAGAAATGTGCTTAGAAAAAAATCTTGCAGATTTGTTTTTAAAAATTAACATCTTTGTTTGTTTTTGTCTTTTGTTCTTTTATGTCTTCTACCTAATAAGTATGACCAATATAATTTATATTTTCTGTCCTTTACTTCCTTCTTTGTCATTTGTGAAGGTTGTGCAATTTAATTGGCTGAGCAGCTTGCTTACTGGTTCCCTGCTCTCAGGTACCAAGATGCCGTGGTGCAAGTGTCGAATTAAAACTACTAATGGAAGACTGGAGAGCTATACCTTCAAGTTCCTAAACCACGAATGCCAGAACTGTTCTCTGCTGAAAGCAAAATGCAACTACACGTACATTTGTATCAAGATCTTCTATCGATTAGTCTAAAACAATAATCAAATATTTGAAAGACTTACTACTGTTGCTAAGTATTTGGAATCATGCGAGAATGTGATCTGAGTAATAGCATCTCTGGCATACTGGAATGGTTCTGGCAACTCATCAATCAGAGAAAGTGCATCAAGGATGTGTACACATCCATCAGTAAGTCCAACGCCCAACAGTGAACCTACAGGAGTAAGAAGGCAGAACTTCACCAATGAGAAAGTCAATAATGAAAATATAGAACAAATTTACTTTTTCCAACAAATGTTCATGTAGTTCTGAGGCAAACATAAAAACAAATGGGGTGCAGTTTAAAATAGGATGTTAATTCACTACAAGCCCTTATCACATTCCCAATATGGATGAATTTCAACACAAGGTTTTCTAATTGCTATCATGTTAATACTAATGGTAACCCATTAAAAAGATGGCAATCTGAAAATCCTTGTCAGTTCTGAATGAACATGAAACTCAGCACCAAATTGCAGTCATGTCATCACTAACTAGAAGTCCCAGAAAGAGGCAAGCAGGTGTGTAAAATAGAAAAATATCACACTGCTGCATTCAGAGTGACTGTTCTGAGGCTTTTGATGGACCAAAGTGGAGGCAGCTTTACCCTTGCACCTGATACCTAAGCTCAGACCACTTGACGCCTGTGAGTTCTGAAATGGAGAATGCACAAATCATCGTCAAGAGCATCACATGTATCAATATGCATACAATAATATTTACATATTAAAAATTGTTAATGTAATACCTGCTTCATTATAAGTCACACACTGAATATAATTCCCTGTTCCAAAAAGCCTGCTGCAGATGGGTTCCTTCTTCTCATAGTCCCAGACCTTTAGAAGTCCACAATAGCTTCCCATACAGATGAAAGGTTGAACAGGATTACATGCAATAGCATGTAATGCTGCACCATGCTCCTGCAATAACATTTCAAGCTTGCACCCTTCTCCAGTCACATGAGCCACTTTTGCATCAACTGTTGCTACAACAAAGTTTCTACATAAAAATAAACACACAAAAAGCAAATAAAATTAAGAAAACATTGTATTACTTTTGCAATAAGTTCAATTCTGCTTTTCAAATGCTCATTAGTTGGACACCTTGAAAATAATACAAATAAGTTGGAAACATCAGTAAATTTTAATAAGGACATGTTTAGAACTATTTATACTAGTCAGAAGCAATACATATCACACATTTCATGTGACTAATCCTGCATCCCGAGGATAAAGTAGCAGCGACAGTGGAGTTGCCAAATACAACATTTCAAATTAAGTTGTTGGGTTAAAGATGGAGGAATATATATTTTCTTCACTAGCTCTTCAGCCACACAATCATTTCTATTCTATTCCTATACTCACCTGGCACATGAAGTAGTCTCCTTCCTAGCTCCCCAAAATCCTGCAGGATCTCATTCCTCTTTCTACTTATCTGTTCCCAAAATGCTGCAACATTCAAAGTCCTTTTTCCTTGCTTATTAGCTATCTTTTATTTTCAACAAGAAGGTAGATAGAATGAGGTTAGGCATCAAAAACTGAGCAACTTCCTTTCAGCTCACTTTTAAAATAAATTCATATATCATGGTTTAATTTTATGAAATATTTTCAGTAAAAGTCCTGTTTTCAGATGTATCATTCAACTATTTGTGTTAAATTGATGAAATCGAATCATATTATGATATTTAAATAATACATAACTACATTTGAAAGCAGTTTTCCCTATCCTTGTAAGTTTCATACTATGTTTTTCATTAGTTTTTTTATAATACTTTTAAAAATATTTCTTCATCTATCCTCAGTACATACTGTAAATATTTTTGATTGTTATTAATTTGTATTAAAGTGGTGATATTTATGTCTGTATAAAAATTAAGAAAAATAATCAATTTATAATTAACTATTACAGATTGAGAACATGTCTTGCAACTTACCAAGTTTGTATTAGTGATTTACAGAAGAAAAGGCTCGCATTTATATGATGCTTTTCACAACTCAGAACATTCCAAAGGAGTTAACAGCCAATTAGGCACTTTTGAAACCTAGTTACTATTATGAAGGCAGCAGTCAATTTGTACAGTGCAAGTGCCCACAAACAGCAGTGCCACAATCAACATTAATTTCGCGACTTTCATTGAGGAATAGCTTTTGATTGGGATGGCAGGCGTTTTTTGAAAGTGTGCCAAAGAATTTTTGATATCCACCTAAGAGAGTAGATTGGGCATTGGTTTAATATTTCATCTGAAAGACAGTGCCTCTGTCAAAGATGCTATAAAAGTTTACTTTTGTGTGTAAGCCTTTTCCCATGTCCTATCTCCCTGGCCTGTCCTAACCTGTCCATCTTCCTTCTCGCCCATCCGCTCCACCCTTTCCACTGACCAATCACTATAACCCAGTACCTGCATCCACCTATCACCATCCAACCCTCAGCCCCATCCTTCTCCCTTTATTTATTTCTGGGCTCCCCTTCCTCTCCCTAGCCCCCGATGAAGGAATTTGGCCTGAAACATTGACTTTGCTGCTCCTTGGGTGCTGTCTGACCAGCTGTGTTTGTCCACCTCCACGTTTATTGACTCTGGCTTCCAGCATCTGCAGTCCTTACTGTCTCCTAATCAAATTCCTCTTTCCTCTTCTCTGCCCATACACTTTTGTTTCCTTAATGAAGTAATTATTTTGTTTCTTAAAAAATGATTTCTGAAAGGTATCAAAGGAACAAATGCAAAATAGACCAAATATGTGTAAAATCTTTGGTTTGAATTATTGCCACAAACATCAGAATTTGTTAGGGAGACTGACATGATGTGTGCATGACCTTAGTAAAGTTGCCATTGTCCTCCTGGATCATAGAACTGCTCTCTCATGAGGCAGAGAGATGGCCAGTAGTGGTTTAACCTGAGGATTACCACACCTCAGGTAAGGAGAGAGGTTAAGAAGGACAGTCCTTCATGATAACCTCAGCCAGTGCAGGAATTGAACTCATACTGTTGGTATCACTCTACATCACAAACCAGCCTGCCAGCCAACTGCGCTATCCAATAGGGCAAGGCTTGTTGCAAGGTTTTAGTATGTTACTCAAAACAGTTCCAGGTCACTGGAAGATTGTTCCAGAGTCACAGTCAGTGGAGTTAGAAGATAGATAGAGACAGAGACACACTGTGCAGAAAGAAATTGTTAAACTGAGGTGACTTAGAGCTAATTGCTCTATGTAGCCAGAACTCAGGAAGAGTTTCTAGGAGTCAGCAGATGCATAATTAATAGTATAATTGAGGCTCGGTAAAAGAACTGGAGCAGTTGGATAGCCCTGTGTAGTTCCTGAGTCACAGAAAGTCTCAGAAGAACCAGTGTGCCATTAACAGCTCTGTGTAGCTGTGAGCTTGTCGATTAAAATCTGGCCTGGTATTGCTATTTTCAAGTAATACCACAACTCCACCTATTGATAAACAATAAATGAGCCTAATAAATCCAATAGGAAATTCAAGAGAAACTTCTCTACCCAGAGAGTGATTAGAATGTGGAAATCTCTTCAATAAGCTCTTGCAGAGAATCATTACAGAGATGACATATCAAATGGCTTCTTTCTGTGATGTAGAAATGCTGTGATTCTAATGATAAGAGTTAGTTGAGGCAAATAGTGTTGCTACATTTAAGAGGAAGTTGGATAGCTATGAAAGATGATGTTAGCTTAAGCATGCTGGTAGGAGATACAAAGGCAGCATAAACACTGGCATAACCTATTGGGTTCCGTGGCCTAATTATTTTCTGATTTGCAACGTATTAGAAAAAGGCCATGAAAAGGAAACAAATATTCTGTTTTCATTTGTCTCTCTCAGCTCCCCATCTTTGGTGATTGATCTATGCAATTAATCAAAATACTTCTTACAAAGTTTATGCAATGGCTGAAGCATCATGTTGTGTTGCTGACGTACCTATAAAGAGGAGAGGGACTAATTATATGAACATTTGCATGACTAACGTACTGATTTAGGTTGAAGTTATAGAATGATCTAGGCATATTCTCTATCTTGGGCTTATGGCCACACTATCTGAAAACACACACACTGGTTTGATCATGGAAGCACAGGAAGACTTAGGTCTGGTCGCTATTAGGGCTCTTCTGGTACAGTGGTAGTATCATTCCTCCTGAGCCAGGTAGACCTGGGTTCAAATCCCACCTACTCCAGAGGTGTGTAACATCTGTGAACAAGTTGATTCAAAGGATATTTATGTGCATTTGTAACACATGGTTTATTGCCAGTATGCTTTACCAGTTCCTGTTTAAAACTGCCACTGACAGGAACAGTGGCAGAGGAGCCGCTGTCTGAGCTCAGAGATGAAAAATAAGAATTGCCATTTAGATAAGATACCAGAAAGTGATTACCTCTGAAAAACTGAAACCATCTTTAAAAGAGGAGGTGGGGATGATGTCACTGAAGAAAAAGAGAAAAACGTAGAGCTCTCCAAAGGTAGGAAAATGTGAAAGGTTCATCCCAAATATCTATGAAACCTCACATTAAATTAATATGGTTTATACAAAGTACTTACTTTGGATTTTTCTAAAAATAGATGATGCATATAATTAAGAATTTGCTACATTTTTAACACAATCAGAATATTTCAAGTAATACTGCTTGAGCATATATAATGACTAGCAACATGTAGATGAAATATGAACATCATTAACCTGACAACAAATTGATCAGCATTGATGGTAGACTCTGATGGGAAGGAAGTTTTCTCATCGGCTTTGGAAGCTGGTCGGCTAGAGAAGGAAATTGAACTGATGGGTCCCAGGTTGAAGTTACTATACCAATTAAGTAAGCAAAGCTGTTCATCATAAAACTTGATGCAACCTTTGACATCACAAGTCACTATATACCTGTAATGAACAATTTAAAAAATGCAGTCAGTGTCATACAAATATAAACAATCTAATTCTTCTGCTGATAGATTTGACTTAAATAATATTTCAACATGATTAAATTAAAACAACTTCCACAACGACAAACAGACAAAGCACATGCTTACATCTGTTTACAATAACTTGCTTTACCTAGAACAAGTTGTTAGCCTGAAGCCAGAACCTACAGCTTGAGGTGCACCAGTTTAGCTGACTAATAGTCTTTCCAGTCTTTGCAGGTTAACAATTAGTCTCTTAGGTCAAATCATAAATAACCTTCTGTTGTTATGAAGTCCTATGACTTGAATCCTGAGTTTCTGGCTCAGAGACAAAGATGCTACCAATGAGCCACAAGACTTCATTTAAGCATCATTGCAATCACAAAAATAATAAGATGGGTATTTAGATGCAAACTTCATGTTTCAGGATGTTTGAGTTGCTTTTACTTTCCCATTCTAAAATGAAAATAACAGATACCTTCCTAGTTATTAAAGTGACTATTCAGCTCTTGCTATGACCTGCAGCATTTCTAAAAAGACAATGGTTGAAAATTCCAATGACACTCCTTCCTTATCAGAGCCAAGATGTCAAGGGACTCCCACCACTTGAGATCAGAGCTGAGCTCACAATAAATGATCAATCTACAGAAATAGAGATGAGTGTTCTTTCAACACAACAGAAACACATCAGGCAGAATCTTCACAGCTTCTGAATGATGTGGGAATTAACAAATCAGTCAGGAAAATAAGATGAGATAGGAGAAATGAGATTCTTGACATCCAAAGAGGGAAGGTCTGATTCTCCAAACAGGTTTTGAATAATGAGATGAAAGTCGTGCCAGCGAGCAGTGAGGAGTTGACTGCACTATTTGCATTCATTAGCTTGCGATTATTACCTAATCTCCTCTCATTGACATGCAGTTTGTGCAGTGAGCCAGTGAGAAACTAGACAGTGACAATTCCCAATATAAAAGTCAGACCTGGCAACAAGCATCCCCTCTAAGCTACATGGCTGTGCAACTGCTCTGAGGTTCCACGCACACAGCATGCACTCCAAATGCCATATTGATGCATTGATGTCCAGTTGTGGAAGTTGCAGTCATAAAAGAAAACTTAGGGGAAATGTAGCCAGTGATTCCAGTTTGTCACTTGCTCTTCCAGGCCTCCATCTTGGGGACAGCAATCCCCAAAATCTCATGGTACTCTCCACAGGCAGTAACCTACAGCCCTCATTCATAGACATTGGCTCTAGACACATATCAACCTTTCCACACCTTCTTGGCATATGTCCAAAGCACTCACAATATGGTTCTGCACAACAATGCTACACTTTGGAGCATGCCAACACTAGGTTGCTGCCAGGCCAGGTATTCATCTCACGGATTCGGTGGGCGTGCATCTCAGAGCTCCTTGCTTACTCTCTTAATGCTCACTAACTTTAAATCTACTTGTGCTCACAGCATCTCTTCCTCACCTGGCCTTTTCCACTCCGCAATCTCAAAGTTTATAGGCTCACAGTATCTTGTCTTGACTTGCCTTTTAGCACAGACACAAAGCCAAGCAGCTGTGCTACATCAATCTCACAGCTGCACCACATGCCAGCAACTTATGTGGCAAACACACAGAATGTGCTTCAACCAAATAGCCATGTCTCAAAGTCTAAGGGGCGTAGTACTCAGTTAAGAGAAGGGAAATGCCTTCAGTCTGAGGGTCCCACCACAGTAAGTGAAAGGTAGCATCTGCTATCAGTCTAGAGGATTGGGCATGGTCAGTTGGCCGCCTGGGGCAGTTATGATTCAGGGAGCTGTATCTCTTCCAATCAGGGAGTGGCCATGGCCACTGATGCAGATCCAGGGCAACTATTCAGACAGTCACACTAAGTCAGTGAGGAAGCTGCACAGAGATCTGTTAGAGATTGGTCACTATCAGTTAGGGCTGTCCATCCAGTTGAGGGTCAGGGTTGTGGGCCACAGTCAGTCCTGGGGTCAACTCAGTGAAAATCATGTGGGTTATCAGGGTTCACTGATGTGACAGGAAAATTGGGGAAGTCAGTCTGAGCTGAAAGGGGACCTGAACAATATGAGGGAGGAGATAATGCATTGGAAGACATATATGACTACAGGTGACATTACTGTTAGCTCTGTGAAGCAGAAGTGATCACAGGTGACCTTAAAAGTAGAATCTGTGGGCTACAATTCATAAAGACACTCTAAGATCTCATAGGCTGCACAATGACACAGAACTGACTTCCTCTCACCTGAGTATAGTTTTTTTTTCCTTTATTCATTAACGGGGTAAGGGCGTCACTGGCTAGGCAGCATTTATTGCTCAGAGGGCAATTAAGAGTCAACCACATTGCTGTGGGCCTGGAGTCACATGTAGGCCAGACCAGGTAAGGATGGCAGTTTCCTTCCCTAAAGGACATTAGTGAACCAGATGGGTTTTTCCTGACAATCAACAATGAATTCATGGTCACCATTAGATTCTTAATTCCAGATATTTTATTGAATTCAAATTCCACCATCTGCTTTGGCAGGATTTGAACCCACGTCCCCAGAACATTACCTGGGTCTCTGGATTAACAGTCCAGCGATAACACTACTAGGCCATCACCTCCACTTATGTTCTTATGCTCTCGTGTACAACTTGCCCTTTCTTGGGTCCAGTGAGGCGGGAGGAAAGGTAGCAATGATCAAACAGCAGTTACAATCTCCTGTTTTATTTTCATGATATGGCTTGTATTCTGGGTGGCACAGTGGCTGAGTGGTAAGGTGGATTAGCCAAGGGGAATGCAGAGCTACAGGGATAGGGTAGGGGGTGGGTCTGGGCGGAATGCTCTTCAGTGTGTTAGTGTGGACTTGATGGGCCAAATGGCCTGCTTCCACACTGTAGGAATTCTATGGATTCTACTCTACTGCATTCATTGAAATAAAATTCAATAAGTCAAACATCCATGTAAAGACATCCTATGAACCTCCTGGTCACCCTGCATAGTGAAGATTATTAAACTATCATCTGCGAGCGATACGAATGCTGACTGTTCACATTACTAAGGACCTGTTCTGTTTCTTATGAACACAGGTTCATTGGAAGCATGAGCATTGGATTCAGCCACAGAAAGGGTTTTGTCACTGTTGTTGTGGTGCAAAGGTGCAGAAACATGGAGGAGTGTCAGATGCACCAAGAAGCTACGAACCAGCGGTAATCTCCAGGAGGCACCAAACAGCCTCCACATAAAGATGTCTCAGTTGAATATCCCCTCAGGATTCACAGAAAGTACAGGGGGCTTCAGTTTATCATCCTCAAAACTGTTTCCTCCAGATGAGCGAGGCACAGTGTCACCACAGACTCAGGATGCTCTGGGACACTGCAACAGAACTATGCCAACCGCCAGTGTTAGACGCACGACATGAAGGAGTGGGTGGCTATCCTATCCCAGTTCCTCGTCACTATTTGGAGCAAAATTTATAAACATATTCCTTTCCTGTGTTTATAATTCCACTAGTGAAGCAAAATGATGTATGAGCATTCTTATATAAAGAATTAATGTTTGAAAATTCTTAATTGGATCAACAATCTCCCCTGTCCCCTATACAAGGTTTTTGGAGTCTAGCAGGAAATAAATTCTTCCAACAAATAATGAGAATTTTCTTTTTCCCTGCATTAACAAAGCACACATTTTATTTTTGAAATGTGCATCTTTGAAACATGTACTATATAAGAAACCAGATTTTTTAAGGGACCAGAAATCAAATAAAAAATATGCATTTTCTCATGCTGGAGATCAATTTTGAATGATTGCAATTAAGTTACATACACATCTGAGTTCTGCAAAGAATTCACTGGTGACAGTCTGCCTTTCTCTTACCTGTCAGACACAGTGACCACTGTAATGCTATCACTTTGTAGATTCATCAGTTTTAGAGCCTTTTTTTTGTGTGATTTTACTGCATCAAGTTGAATTTGTGGTGCGTTCACTGTGTCCCAGATAACCAAATTCCCTGCAGAAGTAGCAGTGAGTACTTGTGAAGGGGTAAGATGAAAAACTGATTGACTGTAGAGTCCAACAATCTTGTTAAATGTCTGTCGAAGAAAAGATCATAGTGGTGTAGTTTAATCGGTAAACCAGTTGACCATAAATAGATAAATACCAGTCTTCTTGCAAAATTTATAGTCAGTGAGTAGCTAGTTAAAAACATTCAGAACCACTGTTGAAAAGTTATTTGCAGTATATGATCTATGTGATTTATTAAGCCATTAAGCTGAATGCTGTTCTAAAGCATTATTCTCAGCTCCTAGTGGTATGCAGACGGCTTTCCTGGTGCAGTGCTAGTGTACCTATATCTGAGTCAGAAGACCCAGGTTAAAGTCCCACATGCTTCAGAGATGTATAATAACATTTCTGAGCAGATTGATCAGAAAATAATCCTCAATCTTGGGGGAAAAAGAGAACAGTTACTGACTTCAATTATCAGCCAAGATCAGAATGAATGGCAGAGCAGCGGCCAACTCCAACTCCTACTTTCTAAGTTTCTATTAGAGGCTGTCCATCAGCAGCTCTTCACCGATTTTCCTTCCCACTGCTGGAAAAGCTCAGAACTTTTGTCACACTTCTGGATCAGGAACCACACAAGGTACTGTTTTTAAGACGCTTATAGCTCAATTGTGGAAAAAGTTATTACATGGCAATTGATTGAATGTTATTGTTTTGATTTTGTTCCACATTCCTGCTAATCTGTAGGAAAAAGAAAATCCTTAATCTTTAGTTTCATTTCAGACTTGTTCATTTAAAAATTGTAAACAATTTTCAAAACACTGCACGGATTGTGAAAATATGAAATTTTTGTCTTTAGAAACTCAAATTAATTTTGCCTTTCACTTATAATACAGATGTAGCTTGAGATAGTTATCATATAGAAATTGAACAATTAAATATTAATACTTACTTCATCTGTAAGAATTGGTGATGCAAATTCCAACTGATTGTCTTTCTATAATGCAAAACAGACTTTATTAATGCAGTGGCTTCTATCAACATTATAAAAACCAAAAGTACTGCGGATGCAGTAAATCAGAAACAAAAACAGAAGTTGCTGGAAAAGTTTAGCAGGCCTGAAAGCAACGGTGAAGGGAAATCAGAGTTAACTTTTCGGATCCGGTGACCCTTCCTCAGGTAGATAGGAAGATGTTGGTTTATATGCATAAGATAGGGTGGAGAGTGGGGGTAAGGAGTAAACAATAGGTGGGGATAGAGCCCAAAGAGAGAGAAGAGCAGTTGGACAGACAAAGGAGTGGATAACAATCTGGCTGGGAGAGGGAATAGCAGTTAATGGAGACAGTTAGTGGCTAACAATAGGTAGTATGTAATGGCAGACTATGTGATAACAAGGCCTGGTGTGTTGGGTAGGGGGCTAGGGCATGGGAGAGTTCAGGCCCCAAAATTATTGAACTCGATATTGAGTCTGGAGGGCTGCAGGGTCCCCAAGCAGAAAATGAGGTGTTGTTCTTCCAGCTTACACTGAGAGCTGGAATATTGCAGCAAGCCTGAGACAGGGATGTTGGCCAAGGAACAGGGTGGTGTGTTAAAGTGGCAGGCAACTGGAAGCTCAGGGTCTTTTTTGCGAGCAGAATGGAAATGTTCTCTGAATCAGTCACACAGTTTACGCTTTGTTTCCCCAAAGTAGAGGAGACCACATTGTGAACAGCGATAGCAGTAGACTAGGCTGTGTGAAGTGCAGGTAAACTGCTGCTTCACCTGGAAGATATGTTTGGGCCCTTGGATACTGGGGACTGGGGCTGTGGGGATGTTGGGAGTGAAAGAAGAGTGGACCAGGGTGTCCCAGAGGAAACGGTCTGTGTGGCTTGTGGACAAGGGAGGGTAGGGCAATATGTGTCTGGTGGTGGGCATCTTGCTGGAGGTGGCGGAAGTGGCGGCTGATGATCTTCTGGATGTGGATGCTGCTGGGACGGTAGGTAAGGAGAAGGGGAACCCTATTGCTGTTGTAGGAGAGAAGAGAGGGGGTGAGGGCGGAAGTGCGGGAGATGGGTTGAACCCGGTTGAGAGCCCTGTCAACACAGTGCTGAGCTTTGCTGGAACACTGCAGCAAGCCTGAGACAGAGATGTTGGCCAGGGAACAGGGAGGTGTGCTAAAGTGGCAGGCAACAGGTAGCTCAGGGTCTTTTTTGCGGGCAGAATGTAAGTGTTCTGCGAAGTAGTCACCCCGTCTACTCTTCGTTTCCCCATGGTACAGCAGCAAATACAGTAGACTAGATTGTGTGAAGTGTGGGAAGTGGCGACTTTCTTTGGACAAGGATCCTCTTCCCGTCCCACAGACACCTTTGTCTGGCTCCAACACTCACTCCACCTGGACCCCTCCCTCTGGCCTTTTACCTGCACTCGAACTGTTCATTGATAACTGTTGACATGACATTGGTCGCCTCAATTTCTCCGCCCCCCCCCTCCTCTCAAATCCAACTTATCTCCCTCCAAACTGACTGCAGTCTGTGCACAACCCTGACTTTGTTATTAAGTCTGCCGATAAGGGTGGTGCTGTTGTAGTCTGACGTACTGACCTCTAACTTGCAGAGGCTGAGTGCCCCCTCTCAGATACCTCGTCCTATCTTCCCCTGGACCATGACCTCACCATGGTACATCAGGCCATGGTAGAAACTACGGTTAATGACCTTGTTTCATTGCTTAATCCCACACCTCTCCCCCCCCCACTCCACCCACTGCCTCCAAGCTGATAGTCCCCTGGTCCCGCGCAGCTCGTTTCTACCTCCTCCTGAAAATCCACAAGCAGGACTTCCCAGCGAGACCCAATGTTTAAGCCTGCTCCTGCGCCCCCAGAACTCCTCTCTTCCTGTCTTGACTCGGTCTTTTCTCCCCTGATCCAGTCCCTGCCCACGTACATCCATGATTCCTTTTTTTAATTTTGTTTGGCATACATTAGAAAGTGGGTTACAATAAGAGATGACATTTACAAAAAGGCGCCAGATGATGACTTGTAGTTTATAGTTCTGTTTAAAACTCAAAACTTGGCTGTTTAATTTACTAACTTGTAATGATATATAATTAACATACATCACTGTAACTTAATTTATTTTTAAAAGGGACTTTCACATATAAAGGATTTATCAAGTTATTGAAGTATGTAGATTAACTTGGTGATCATCCCTGGGCTACTTCCTTTTTATTTTATACATTCAAATTGATCTTATGCAGTTTGAAGGCAACCAATGTATAGAGCAGTTGGGATATGTGGCTGCAAATATTGCCAGTCTCTTCAAGACCATTACTCAAGCATTTCTTGTCCATGGCACTAGCTAGATAAATCCAGGTAATTGACGCTGCTTATTAACTCCTAAGATTTGTTAAGGACATTTACAACATTTTGTTCTAGCTCCACAGCAGAAAATACTGAATGAAACTAATGATTTTTTTTAGTACACTATTTGATTTTCATTGCATATGGAGAGTTAAGTTCAATTTTGATCTTCCATTATAGCACGATGAGACAACAGCACATAATTAGGACAGACTCTACAAGATGCTTTCTTTCATGCATACTTTTCTTAATATTTAGGTTCCAGTATATAAATTCCTCTGCACTCATACCTATGTCAGCTTGTTACATTATAGTAATAACTCATCGTTAGGAGAGGAGAATAGATAAGGAGAAACTGTTACTCAATGATCTGTCTTGATTGTTGAACAACATTCCTAACTGCCCAGTTCTCCACTAATATTCTTATAAGCAGCAGTCAAAAACATAATTGGCATTTAATTTTTAAGAAAACTTTTGAGAAATTACATTTAATAGGAACATAGGTATACAGGAGAGGTACATCGTTCAGCCCCTTGAGAATGTTCTGCCATTTGGTGAGATTGTGGCTGATTATAGCCTAACTCCATTTAGATGTATCCCTTAATACTTTTGCTTAACAATAAAAGTCTATTTCAGATTTAAAATGCAATGCAAATACAATTAAATACAAAATTATGTCCAGTAATGTTGAAATTTAAAAAAGGTGCTTGAAATAAATGACTGGGTCACATTCTGCTAATATGCAGTAAAACTCACCCAAGTATAGAACACAACTTCAGTTTTACTGTTGCTCAGCAATTCAGTATTATCTTCAGGATTAAAAAGTATAAATGTCTAGAAAAACAACAGGGGAACTTATATGAAAAACTATCAAGCTACTTATAAGCCAACTCCAAACAACTGATCATGTGACGAATTACCTGAGATCAAAATAAAAAAAAATTAAAAACCATTTCAAGTCCAATCAATGAGATTAATTTCTGATTACTGAATTTTAATGTAAATTATAGTTAAGCAAAATTAAGTTGCACAAATTGGAGATCCAATACTAATACTGTGGCACTAATAATTCACTTTAGAAAGTAGAAAGTATTGACATTAGAAAGTAAATTCGCTAAATTTATGACCAAGTGGTCACATTCTCGAAACAAATTAAGTATGTAATAATAACACGTTAGAATAAGTTTTGATGTAAGGTAAATATGTAAACAACTGAATAGAATGAAATCCTTCAAATGTTTGAGCATAAGACAAATATGCTTATGTAGAGAAACCTATTATTTTGTCTTTGTAAGAGTCAAATGAAACCAGATATAAAATTATAATCAACACATATTTATTATATGTTAAAAATATTATTTCAACACAAGCTTTCTGTCAGCACTTTTCCATTATAAATTCCACATTTATAACAGAAACAGCTTATATAAACATGTAATACAGTAATTACAACCTTTTCTAAATAAAGCACAGCAGGAGAACCTAATTAAATCGTGACAAACGTATGTACAGTACACTGTTCCACTCTAAAAGTGGGCACAGAACATTATAAAGGAAATATATTGATAAGAGTAGAATATATGGACTTCAAAGTAGGAACTGAGCCATATTTGCACACCTGTTCCAATTATTCCAAGCCATTTTAATTCAATTCATGTGTCAGCAACATTTGCTGTTCACCCAATACAGGAATTTTAACATGAGTAAGTAGATGCGATCAGTTAAGCATATGGAGATATTTTAGTTGCATTAATAAAAAGGTTACAAATCTCAACAACTCATTTCATAGGGTTAACCAGTCAAGTATCCTGAGCCTGTTTTATATTGATCTTTCATCAGATTACCCTCGTAAAAAAGGCTCTTCCCTGGAAGGAGGATGAGATATTGCATCCTCCACCTTAGCTTATCCTCAAGCTTCCTCTGGCCTGACTAAAAGCCATGTCTGTTAATAAGGCTTATTTCCAAGCAATAACATTGGTGGTTGCTGTCAATGTCGCAGATTATGTGGAAAAACTAGAGATCCAGGGCTGGATTTTGAAACAATTGTCGGCTGGGAGTCAATGCACAGCCTACAGCCATAACACGCTGCCAACAGTAAAACTGGGTGAGAGTGGGAGTTCTGTCCATTAGTGGAAGGAAGTCCTGCCACTGAGAGCCTCCACAATCTGACTGACCAGCAGTGCTACAGCCCAGCAGCAGTGCAGCCTGGCAGTACTACAGCCTGGTGATGCTGCAACCCAGCAGC